AACCATTTATAGGGTTTACGCAGCGAACACTACACTCTTATTTTCCCTGCACTTTTTGCTAGATTGCAAGCATATAGAGTGGCTACTCAGATTCCTACTTATACAGCGTGCGTATGTGAGGGGGTTAAAACGTGTGCATGTAAAATTATTACAGGCACCTTTCTCTTGGGTTTTGGTGTTCGTTGTTCTGTTATCGGTCGTCGTCTTTGTTCTTTTGTTATCGGTTCTGGTCGCATTTCTCTGTTGTCAGTTCTTCTGTTATTGGTCGTGACTTTTGTTCTACTGTTAGTTCTCGTCGCATTTCTCTTGTTCTTCTGTTATTGGTCGTGATTTTTGTTCTTCTGTAATCGTCTGTTGCATTATCGTCTGCAAGTATTTGTATCTTCATTCGGTGGTCTTGGTATCAGTTCTTTTGTTGTCAGATGTTCTGTAATCGTTCCTTTCTCTGCTTTGTGTTATCGGTCGTCGTCTCCGTTCTATTATCGGTTCTCGTCTTCGTTCTTCTGCGTTCTTCTGTCATCGGTTCTCGTCTCTATTTTTCTGTAATCAGTCTTGGTCTCCGTTTTCTTGTAATTGGTTCTCGTCTGTTATTCTGTTATCGGTCCTAGTCTCTATTGTCTTGTTGTCAGTTGTTTCTCTGCTTTTGTATTATCGGTCGTCGTCTCCGTTCTTCTATTATCGGTTCTGGTCTTCGTTCTTCTGCGTTCTTCTGTCATCGGTTCTTGTCTCTATTGTTCTGTAATCAGTCTTGGTCTCCGTTTTGTTGTTCATTCTTCTGTCATCGGTCCTCGTCTGTTATTCTGTTAACGGTACTAGTCTATTTTTCTGTTATTAATCCTTGTCTCTCAGTTCTTCTGTAATCGGTCCCTGTCTCTGTTCTTCTGTTATCGGTTGACGTTTCTATTCGTTTGTTGGCAGTTCTTCTGCTATCGGTTCTTGTCTCTATTTTTCTGTAATTAGTCTTGGTGCTACTGTGATCGGTGCTAGTGTCAATTTTCTGTTATTAATCCTTGTCTCCGTTGTTTTGTTGACAGTTATTCTGTTATCGGTCCTCGTCTCTGTTCGCTTGTTGTCAGTTCTTGTCTCCGTTCTTCCTTCTGTAATCGGTCGTCGTCTTAGGTCTTGTACTTTCGGTACTTGTTTCCTGTTCCGTTAAGGTCTTCTCTTGTATCCATCGTTGCCGTCATGCTATGTCGATGTCCTGGTTTTGTCAGTCTTGTAGTCATTTTATTCGTTCAGTGGAGTATCGGGGGATCGAACTCACGACCCCTTGATTTGTAGGCAGACAGTGTTACCACTGCACCATAGCGCCCGCTGTGAATAATAACCATTTTTGAAAGTCCTTTATACATTAAATACTATTTCAATGGCTAACAAAGGGTGTATTACAATTATATTTTAACACCTCTACTATGTAGCCAACCCACGTGACTTTTATATGTGGTCAAAGAAAATATTACTCGATTTAAATAATATTTTTATAGATAACATTGCTGTTACTTTAAGATATCCCGGTAATTTATTGGAGGGTACCCGGAATTGTAATGTCTATCAAGTTTTCTTCTTTTTATTACTTTTAACATTTAAGTTATTTATCAATTTCAGCTTTGCTTTTCTCTAAACAGCCTGACATTGTCAGAATTGTCAGCAAAAATAAAATGTAGGTACCACATGGGGAAAATCTTAAGAAAGTAGTTTCGTTATTGGAAAGTGTGAAATTATATTTTGATAATTTTCACTGTGAAATTATCAAATATAATTTTCACGGATTAATCAGTAATCCACTGAAAAGCATAAAATAAAAAACTATAAAACTAATGTTATTGAAAGTCATATCTGCTAAAAATGTAAACGTTATCCGCAGTAGCACAGTCGGTTAAGTGATTGACTGGTGTGTGAGAGGTCTATGGTTCGATTCCTACTGTTGCCTTTTTTAAGACCTACGTACTGTTTTTTGGGTTTTTTTTTTGTTTTTCTTTGGGGGGAGGGGTGCAGTATATATTTTAAAACACATTTTGTCTCGGATTTTGTTGTGTTTATGGCATTGGAATGGTATTTTTGACATTTCAAAATAATCTTTCAATATTAATTTTAAACCATAAATACCATAATAAGTGCAAAATATATGAAAACAAAATGAACAACTTAAAAGAAATGATTGCTACAAATAATTTTGAAAATTACGGAACACCTGAAGTGACATTTTCCACACTTTCTCCCGGAATTGAATTCGTTTTTACGAGATAATAATTCCCAATTAGAAATATAATTTCGTTTTAACGAAATATAATATCTTAATTACGAAATATTGATTCGTTATTAGACCTTTCTATCTTAAACTGAAACGTAAACGTAAACAGAAACATACTTCGTAATAGCAGTCAATCTTAGGGGTTTTCTCAAACGTAGTAAAGCTTGTATTAATTACTCAACAAAATCACAAGGTTTCGTATTTTCTAAACTGACATTCGCCTAAAAAGAGTTGCAGCAATTTTCTTCGTCCCACCGAATAAGCACATATATTAACGACTCGGTGAAGTAGAACTCTAGAATGGCGCTGAACGTAACTAATTGACCTGTATTGCTTGATCTCCCCTATAGCTTAATCAACTAAAACTCTATATTTCTGAATAAACCTGTTAATCTTTCTGCATTTTCTTTTCGAACATTACGTCTGTTAATTTGCTGTGATGTATATGGGGTCTTAAAGGGATGTCGATTAGGATCAATTTTATCTCCTAGAAGAACACATTCCCCTGGAAATGGAAGTATGTCGCTGCTAATGTCTAGCATAAGATTAAACTGCTGAACATCATTGAGATGACCGGGAAATCCTGACGTCACCATCTGAATCTACAATAAGTTGCGAATTGATAGCGTGGAAGTGACGGTATCAAGAATAGAATTGTTCTTGTGGCTCATACATTGGTCGCAATATTTCGTGTGATGTTCCATCTATTGCAACAACTGTGTTGAGACTAAGTTATATCAAGTGATATGAAGATACAGTATTTTTTCATGTCAATTTACATACTGATATCAGAAATGATTCAATATACATTTTGTTGTAATACAAATTATATTTCTATTAACTCCTCAACATATCATGTCACAAAACAATGTCCTTTGTGTTTCAATTCTTTACACCCCACTAAGATTCGTCTGTCTGGTTTCCGTATACAGCAAAAATGCATGCAAAAATCTTGAAAAACTACGTTTTATTGTTTAAGGTGCATTGCAACGTCGACGGAAAGTTTCTTTTTCAAAGGAAGAAACCTTATTAATTCTAAGGGCATATGAGCTCACCCATGTAGCTGGACCAACGTTATAACTGATATCAAGGCTGTCAAATAACCATCAGTTGCAGTACAGAACGGATACATTAAAACAATTGAAAGACAGAGTATCAAATAAGTTCGGTCGACTTCTTCACAGCACTATTGATACCGTTGAGGATGCTGATATAAGGTAAGATTTCATCAATGCTCAGAAGAATAAAACCGCATGCTAGTATCTAAGCTAAGAAATATTTTCTGTAATGAAGATCAATTAACAAAATTTCAAAATTAAGGATTTTACAAGACAACATTTACGTTAAAGCGGACATGTGTTGACCGATGATTTATATAAGCGGCCGTGTAATAAGTTTATATATATAATACTCTTCTTGAAGCGAACCTTAATTGAAAAAAAAAAACAAACAAGCAAACAAACAACTGCACATTGTCTTGTCGACAAAATCGTGCTGTTGATGATAGACACTACTTTTGTATAAAGTGTAATATTTTCATTATTAAATTTGATGTATATATGTACAGGACACATGTGCAAGGTATACGGGACTTGTTTCTCCACCAACCGAAGTTAACACCAGGCAATAGAGCTATCAAAGGGAGCTCCTACTTCAACAGATCAGTGAGTCCGACGATGATGATGTTGGATAGAGGAGCTCCACAGCCTGCGGGCGGTCAACATCAGCAAAACAAGCAGGTTGACAACAATTACGAGAGGGCAGGTTCAGGCCGAATTCAACACAACACCCAGTGCCGGCTGTTTCAAATGTTGCAGCCGGTCAACGTAATCGGCCGGTTCATCGCAGGAGGAAAAGGCGCTCCCTTGCAGATCAAATTAGAGAAAATCAGGCTCTCGACAGGAGATTCCTGACAAAAAAGTTAAAAAAATACTCCGTGAACTTGGCGTAAGCAGTGACAGCAGTGATGACAATTACGTTATGTTCCACGTACTCACACATAACTTTAAAATGGTCATTTTGGTTATCTTTGTTGAGAAATTAACATGACAATTAAGTATTTGAAATAAGAAACTTGTTTTGTTTTTAAGTCTATATAAACATTTTGGTTATATTATATCTATTATTGTGTTGGTCGTTTATAGAAATAATATAGCAAACATAATCCTGTACAAAAACGCTGTATTTCAGTTTAAGCGTATTGATCTTTATAATTATCTTATTTTCCACATATATGTTTTGAGAAAATCCCCAATTTTATTCAGTATTACGGAGTCCGTTTACGAAGTCCGTTTAAGATAGAAAGGTCTATTACGAAATATTAAACATTAAACATTTTAAATTGACCTTTTGAAGGTGAAGGTCAATTTTATTTTCTTGGTATCCACCCTCATCGTCTTCAGCATACCCATATTAGGTTAAAACACTCAAGATATTACTTGTACTATAAAATGCCTCTAGCATTCATATTTTCTTAAAATCAGTCCTGTCTATATGGATACTTTGAGATGTTTCTTAGAACTGTTTTATAAGCCTGAATGATAGTAGATGTTTATTATGTTGCATATTTTTCAAAGATTGCAGGGACTGTATTATTCTTGTGAAGAGTAATGACGTCATTGTTAGATCAAAATAAATGTTCTTTTAATGATTGTCTCCACAAGTGGTAACAGCATTAAAATATGTTCGTTAGGCAGTTTATGTTACGAATTTCTCAGGAACGCTGATCTGATTTTTTTACTTTCAGATTTGGCGGGATAAAGCAGTATGACTTTTAACTCGACCATAGCTGTGGACATATCATTGCCTGTTGTCAAAGATTACGATGATTTTAGTGAAATACAGCCGACGTACAGGATTGTTATTGAAAGTGTTTTATTCGTTCTAATATGGATAACCAGTGTGCTCACGAACATCCTCGTGTGTGTCGTGATTTACCGGAGCCGACGGGTGCAGTCAACGACCAATTACTTCGTCGTGTCTATGGCCTTTTCGGATCTTTTACTGACTTTATTTTGTGTGCCATTTATTTTGTCGAGAATTATTGCTAATCGATGGGTGCTAGGATCAATTTTGTGCAGACTTATTCGATTTATTCAAATTTTAGCGCCGACGACGACGGTGTTTGTGCTAGTGACGATATCTGTGGACAGATTCTATACAATAATTTATCCGTTAAGTTTTAAAATTACACGTGGAACAGCGAAACATTTGATATCAGGATGCTGGTTGTTTTCTTTTATATCTAGTGTATTTTCTATATATTTTTACGAAGCCAGCTATTACGGGGATACATTAGTATGTCCACCATTTATACCAAATACAAATCTAGCTAGTGTAATATACGGATCAAGTTTTGTAGCGTTAACTTTCGTCCTTCCCGCCATATTTGTTTTGGTTGTGTATTCAAGAATCTTCAGATATGTTTGGACAACTGGAGTCAGACAGCGTCGTGTAAGACGGACTGAAAACCCCGTGGCAAGAAATAAAGTGAAAATGGTAAAGATGTTGATAATTGTCACTGTGTTAACGTACATAGGCTTCAGCCCACATTACATTGTTCAATTAAGTTTTTCGTTTTTAACAGTTGCGCACATACATCCGGCAATATTTGTAGCTACATTTCTACTTTTGTTTTTAACAACGATTATGAAACCATTGATATACATGATGTACAATTCTAATTTCCGACGAGGATGTCGGGAAGTGTTCTGTATGTCAAACATGCGTTGTTACAGGAGTCACACATACGCCATAACAACAGCGTCAAATATTGGCAAGAAAAATCACGTGGGAGTCATGCCGGTGGACACCGGAAATAGGATAGCTATCCAGTCTCCGACGTTTACTTTTAACAGAACTGTGATATCTGAGAAAACAGCGTGGCCCGTGTCGGCTAGTATATCAACAACATATTTATGAAACAATATACATTTGTGGAACATTTATCTGTGAAATATTATTTATGAAACGTATTTATGAACTAATATTATTAAGCAAACCATATTTAAGAAAACAAAATATATACATCTATCTTATAAAGATAATTCAAATGGAATATTTAACTTAAACGCACAAGATCACCTATATAACAAAGTGGCTTTGGATTGATCTTCCAGTGTCAATACATTTTCTATAGTTCAATTTCTTTTTTATTAAAGTATAAGAGTGCCAGATCAATTTACAGTGCAAGTAAAATGCATGTTATGATATTAAAGAGGAAATTATTCGTGCCTTTGACGCTTAATACCTTACATTAGTGCCTCATACCATAGATGAAGAGTCCTGTCCCAAATACTGCAGAACGTCTCTAAATTCGTGCTATTTTGTATGACAATTTTGAATTTGTTTTTAATGAAAATATTGTCATATCAACAAATAAAGCGGTTGACATTGTAGGTAGTCCGAAGGATGTTGTTGAAAAAAAGTATATTGAGTCATATTGTAGGTAAAACATTTACAGACCCGATTGGATGGTGAATACTCGTACGTTTCGTTATTTTCCCTTCTAATTTAATCGTTTAAATGACGTTGAAGCTTGCGTCTTTGACAGAATTGAGTGCATTAAGTCTGTTTTGTACGCAACAGTTGTTGGTAACACGGCGGCTAACACCTGTTATACAATTTGTTTCAAAATACTAATGAACGTTTCTAAAAACATATCATTCAGGACATTCTTTCTAATCCGTTCTATTTTTAGAAGCGAGCTGCACAACAAGTCATTCAATACAGGAGTTCACAGAGTTTGTTTGTCTGGATATGGAATATCAAGCAGTTTTGGTCAGTTGATTCATTGACAAAATGAATAACTAACAGTATGATTTGGTTTAGCGGGAAATAAATTAACAAAAGGAAGGGCTTTACGTTCTATAAGCAGCAAAAGTTTCATTTCAAAGTATTTTGTCATGCAATAATGGGTTCAAAAGCTTGGTCTTTGTTTAAGCACAGACTAAGATACTAATTTCTTTTTCTTTTTGTTTAGGCCCTTATTAATATTTATGATTAATCAATCTATTCTCTGTGACTAATTTTGTATGCTTCAATTATGAAACATTCAACATTTTGTTAATTTTAACTTTATGTTGCAGTCCGTTTATTGCAAATGTACATGTATATATGCTTACACGACTTCACGACTTATAACAGTGTCGTCACATGTTATCGTTGTAAAGAACATGGTGTTTCAAATTAACAATAAAAGGGACGGGTCGGTTTTGTTTTTATATCTTGTATATTTATCTTTATTCATTAGTATGTGTAAAGATATTTATAACCGAGATGTCAAGATACAGTCATGACGTTAGCGCCAAATGAATATCATTTTAGTTATAAGTTGACCGTCACTAGGGAGAATCTGTAATCTGCTCTCGCATTATTCTGTGTTTTTACGTAAATGACCGCCAGAATCACCAGCATAAACATGTGAGACAAGTTTAAGTAGTTGTTTTGTCGTCAGCCAAACCGCCACGAAAATGAATAAAAATAGATCAACATGCTCCACACCAAGGTCTGTGGACCTTCTGTCCAACCTACCTGTTTTTATCGTGATAAGGCGGATTAGGGTAGTTTTACAAAAAGCGTATAAATGAATTGCATCTGTTCGTGTCAATTTTATCTTCACCCTGTTACGTTGCTTTGTGTTACGTTAAAATTAGATTTTATAAAGTTAAGATAATGCACATGTCAAACACCGGATGTAACATGATAACTTTTGTATACATCCGATTGGTTTTACTTATAAAATGTTATGTTTTACAGCAATATTGTTATAGAAGTTGATAAGAATATTTTATAAAATGTTAATAAAGGTCTGGTTAATTAAAGTCAATGTATTGTAGTTTTATATTTATATATAACAGATAATTTATTCACCCATCAATTTAGAAAGTTTCGTAACAATGGTGTAGATCTTCAGATCGTGGTGAAAATAAAAGAAGATTGCTCGAACCTTTTTGATTACTAGTATATGAGAATCATTGACATTCTTTCCTGTCTACATAAATGAAAGAAGTTTAATTTTTCATTAAGAACATTAACAATATGACTTGCATATCTATCTACATAATTGAGCAGTTAAATTAATTTCGTATGTTGCCAATTTATTGGAATCAATTATAGGATAAATTATACTTATAGCGATTTGAAAAAGAAAATTTCTGTGAATTTTTATTGCCGTTAAGATTCCAGATATCCGAACCAGTATTGCCTTGTTATTACTCTCAGATCTTTGTATGGTTCATATTTTAGGAAAAGGAAGCAAATTAAAGTAATTCTTATATCATTTGATCAACTTTTTCTTTACAGTTAAGCTAGTCTTGTGGGTTTGTTTTAGGAAAATGCACTCAAGTCCCCAAAATGATATTATTTTTATCACTCAAAACATTTGAATTGTCCTTGTCACAACTCATAGACTGTATAGATCGACATCTGGGTCATATATTATATTAAGGACTTTAGGACAGTTAGAGTGTTTAAGTATAGAAGTAAAAAAAAGCAGACAACAACAACAACAACAAAAACAAAAGACTTTGTTTTGTTTACATTTGGCTTTTTTATGACAAATTATTTCAAGTTCGAATCATTTTTCAACTAAAATAGTAAAAAAACAACAATACATGTCAGCCTCTGAGTCTTTCTATTTGAAAGATTGTAAGGAAGACCAAAATTTTAATGTACTCATTTGTGAGGGATCATGAGTCTTAACAAGTCCTACCTTACAAAAAGGAATATGAACTCGATATGTATTAAAGTCAACTGGTATTGACCCATATTTCATAATATTGCACCATCAACAAATGAAACAGTCTCAAAACTCTATATGGAAAACAAAAAGAAATGTTTAACATGTACACAATTTGCTTTTCCGTGTACGTATTTACCAGTGTCAGTATATTTTCAGGAAACAAGGTAATAAAATTTCTCTCACAGAGCCAATCGTTGCATGTTACGAAAATTTTGTCCTATGATTATTTTTGTTTAGACTTGATCCATATTTTTCCGAAATAGAGAGAAAGGGTAATTGTAAAACAGATCGGTGACTTACAAGATGTAGACATACTTGTCGTCTGATCTGAAAGCAAGCTGTTTACAAAAGTTTCTGTGGTCGCTCTTGGCAGGTTAAAGCTTCACCATAAATCTCACCTTAAGCTAGGCACATTGTTATGTTGCCGTTTGTTTCACAACAGTATTACACATTTTGAAAACATTATCCTGAGGTTGGTTGGGGGTATTTTTGGCCTTATGATCGTACAAATCGTCAACACTATAAGAGGAAGTCATTACATCATAATAGAAGCATTTAAATGTCTTTAACGAAGTTCTGATAACAACTCGGTAAAGCTCTTTATTTAAAGAACAGTGCTCACACACATAAGGTATAAGATTCGAGCCCCCTTCTTCTGTGCTACGATATTTTCTCATTTTAATATGAAATGGTTGTATATCAAACGACAGAGGCCCTGTCACAAACGGAGTGAAATCGAATATGCTAGGACATGTTGAAATGATTTTGAAATGGTGTAATATGTCAAATAGAAAATATTTAAGAATTGATAAAAGAAAGGCAATGGAGAAAGTAATAAAAAGAAAACAATGTGCATTGATTATGTATAAAATAAGCAGCACAAATGTCCAAGTATGATCCGAACCATAAAGCAGCAAAAATATTGCAACTGAACTATTTTCGACATTCTTACAAACAGACGCATGTGAAATATCTTTAATTGTATTAACTTATAATAAAATACAAAGTAACATATATAATAGCAGGAATATCCTAGGTTAAACCATCGGATCGTTGCAAAATGGACAGGTTATAAAAATCTCCAAAATAATGCAGTAGTAAAGACTTGTACATTTTTGGACCACTTGCTAATTGGGGTTCAAACATGGACTTGATAATTCAAAATAAACCTGCAGGTCAATGAAGACTATATTTTTCAGAAAATATTTGATTTGGCCAACAATCTTTGTTTGCGGCCATGACAATTGGAATATTGTAAATAACAACAAAGAAATGAAGTATGAAAATAGATGGTTTATTTTTTGTTATTTAGTGCTTGTTATGGTGACATGTACGCATTTTACATGTTTATGAAATAAGTACAGCTGTAAAATAAATTAACAAATATCCCTGCTGGTTAATTTATAACATGGCAATGCATTGTGGTAAATTATTATTATAATATAAGCCAGCAAAGAATACATCTATTTTTAGCATAATACTACGCTTATATTGATGTGATATAACTAAACAATATTCTCACTAATTACTGGCTGCAAGTCTGTCTTTATGATACTAAAGGGGAAAATGCAATTATTTTCTTTTGAAACTTATGATAGCATTGGCTTTGTTTTTTTTCCTATTACGATGGTGTTTTTTTAAATGTTTTTTCATCGTTGTAAAGATAAGGTTTCCGCCTTCCACTCTTCGTTCAGGAATATGAAAGAGCTCTAAACTATAAAATCTGTATTTTCGTTTAATGAAAAGGCAAAAACCCAATTGATATCACGAGAGCGATTTGGTGTCTCATGACTCAATTGGTATCGCTCCGCCCACTGTGTCACGTGACTCAATTGGTATTGCTCCGCCCACTGTGCCAGTTATCCACGTACAGACAGAATTACAACCAAGTAATGAGAAAACATGTTTGCACTAACGTACATTTGAAAACAATTATCATAGAAAAACACAGTATAATACACAAAACTTTACACACACTAACTATGTAAGAAAGCAGTTTATCTAAAAATAATTATAACAATAATTTCATAAATTAACAATTATTCTGAACCATTTATTTTAATCTTTGGTCCCCCTAAAAACACCGTACAATTATATTCAACAAATAAAGACATACAAACACAAATAAACAAAAAACAACCAAATTCTTTTAAATCTGGGTTTATTCGTTCCTGATATACACCTATTAAACAATTGAACTAATGGCAACAACAGAATTTAACACAACATGTCCATGAGATAAAAATGTAACCTAACAATGCAGGTACAAGTAAAACAACAAAAAAATATCTTACAGATCAATTCAAAAATGTGTACACTTGGTATTTGCTATTTTTGGAATGATTCATAATAACATGTATAACAAAATAAAATTGTCCAATGCAATGCATTTTAACCCCTCTTTTGTTTTATCAGTATAAATGCATTTAGGATACTGTTTCACTGTTTTGGGTAATTCTACCAGAATGAAAATGAATCCCCTTTAAAATTAGGAGCATTTATACAGCATACATAATTATATTAAATGACAGAACAATTTCAAATGAACATTTGAATCCTGACTGAAGACTAAAAGCCCCAGCCCTAAAACAATAATGTTGTTAGTTTATTCCACCATTTCATCATATTAATAGGTTTTTCTTTTGACCTCTATTGAATGGACATCTCTGTAAATGAACCACTTTTAATCATATAGACTGGAACATAGAATAATATA